TTGATGGAGTTTATATTTCACCTGAAGTGGATACTTTGACCGACGAGGAAGGTATGAACGATGAAAGCAATCGCCAAAAGTTTGAGGAACCAACTGATATAGTTGGAACTTTCGAGTTGCATATACCGGAATCTACTATGCCTGACTGAAAAAAGGATAATTCAAATAAATCTTGCTCCTGATTTAGATGAACTACGTTATGATAATAAAAGTCACCTCATGATTAATCATGCTAATAAAGCTCGAAGGAGGTGTAGAATTTGCCATAGTCACACAATTTACATTTGTAATAAGTGTAATGCACATTTACATACTTCATGTTTTGTACAATATCACCAAAAATAAAACCGTGCGTTACCAGTGGTTCTGCACCATAGGATATTTCAATATTTTTAGTATCAAGCAAAATTCTATGCATAAAGTAATTTACATTTAGTGTATTTATGTAAGACTGACACTATCTGTGTTTTATTTTTGTTAGAATTATTAGTTATAACTTATGTGCCTCAAAATAATATTTCATGTATTATTTGGTACATAATCTATTTTTGTATTATTTTTTTTTTCGACACATGAAATATAAAAATTATTATTATTCAAGTATCTTATTAACGTATACTTATGCTATTGCCTTTTAACACAGAACTCAGGTTGTTCTAGACCAGTTGGTAGAACTAAGTCATTAAAATATGAACAAAAGCAGTAATTAGGGTGCAAACATTATTTTTACTTTTTATCTGTATAATTTATTTTTCTTTTTTCTGCGAAATAATACTCGATTCAGATTAGTTAGTACACTACCGGGCACTGCACTTGATAGAATACAAACAAAGCAAATAACAAGAAACTCAGTTTGGCCCTAGAATTTTGAGTTCCCAAAACTTTAGTTCAATGCTAAGCTCTATTTTGTAAAATGTTGGTATATTGATGTTAGTAATATTTGAAACATTGAGAACTGTCAAAATATAATTTTATAAATATATTACATATGTACATATATTATTACACAGTTTTTTATATTATATTTAATAATAAAATTTTATTGTATGTGAATTATTTAAGTAAATATTAACAATGTTCAATAGTACATCATAATCGATAGCTTCTAAGTTATTAACTTTCATTTTTTATTTTATGAACATATATCCAAACATCAAGTACGTATGAAGACATAATACTGAATAGCTCTTCATTAAATCCTGCAAGCTAAGCCAAAAAATATCTTCTCCAGTTTCCTGAACGCCACTTGAAGATTTTGATAGATTATAGACAACTATAAGCACATTAAGGAGCTGCCTTGTATAAATTAATATATCATGATTTTTATTGAGCGAGACATTATTACAATGTAAATTATAACATGGAATATACTGCTTACACTGTTCTAGATGAAGAGATTTAAACCAGGAACATCGCAGTAGCTTAATTCAAATGATTGCAATGTTACTAGAAAATTGTAAAAATTATTATTACCGCTCCTAATATTTACATGAAAAGGTGTTAAAAAGCTGTATTTAATGTTCATTTCCGTTTTTAGAATATCGTGACATCTGTCCCCTTGGGGTAGGTTAATGTTCTCTTCAAGCTCTTCTAGCTCCTCTAATACATCAGCTTCCACATTCATGGTCATTGGTATTATAATATAAGACACTTATTTGTGAGAGATAGATACCGTAACTGATATTTAGAGATATATTGTCTGATTTTTGAACTGCCTAGGGTCCATAGAACTGGGAAAAACTATTTCAGGCAGACTGTTTACACCCTAGGAGCAGCGACGAGTTTCATGTCGATCCGTACCTTGATGTACATAGTTTGGCAAAATTAGAATGAAAAGCAGGAGAGCTAGTCCCCGGCCACTCGTCGGTGTAAGACGAGTTTGAGACCTTCAGTGAATTAAGTAACATGATTAATCTGACCCTTCGTTCAAACAGCAACGAGTAGTTTGACTAGCAGCTAGTCAGACATGCAAGCAGTTCGCGCCGGTTTTAGCTGGGCTTAGTAATAAGCAGTCTAAATATAATCAAAGCACTTAAAACTACGTCAAATAGATACCTATATCTTGCACAAATTTGAAATGAGTAACCACCATAACCGCACTTTCCCCTTACGTGTATCAATTGATTGCGAGCACTGCTTTTCGGTACTTAATTTGTTAGGTTTTGGTAATATCTAAATTCATGATAAAATATAAAAAAGTCGTAATACTTTTTCTTAATTTTTCATATACCTAGATAAGGTACAACATATTTCAGGGATAACTACTAGCACAACTATTTACTGTTATTCTATAAAATAAATAAAATACGTTCTGTGAATAAGTATGTAATTGCTTTCCGTAATTGGGGTATTTTTTGTCTTATTTTCAGACTACCATAAACATAGTTTTTTGAGACGATTTCTCCACAATTTTTTTTAGATAAATGATACATTTTAATAATTCTCAATTAATGTGAGGCGAGGGTCCATATTTTATCCTTTGCATCAGGGTGCCCCGGCTATAAACGGCCACAACGGTGGCAACCAAATAGTTCAAGTGGGATGACGTTTTGGGTAACACCTACAGTTTCTATGAGTGCACAAGTGTATGATAGCTAGTTGCAAGTTGACATTATGTAGGTCACAGAAAACCTAAAAAAAGGTCAAAAAACAGACATAACATTTTAAGTTACGTAAACCCCTGCAGGTAACCCATTTAGTTTTAGTTCAGTGACAGTATTGTAACAATTCGTTTGGTCAATTGAATTTGACGGTGGTTTATGACTTATCCTGAGAAGATGAACAAAAAAAGGTATTTTTGATAAGTTTTGCGCCTGTTCCCTTTTAGAAACAGGCAGAATAAAAGCACTGTGTGCTAAACCAAAGGTCAAGTTTCAACCCATATATACAAACACACAACTATAGCGTCAAACTAGGTGTAAAAATTGCCGGCAGTTTCAGTTCAAACTTTTTACCCTCTGTGAAATCGAGAAGAGTGCAATTTGTACATATAAATATGATTGATAAGAAGAATTTGTATCATGTTCTGTACATTTAAATTGTAGGTATTAGATGGACACTCAATACCGACCATGAACTCAGTCGTTACGCATTTCTGATGATTATAAAATCTGCCACTTGAACCAAACTTTTTGTCATAAATAAAATCTGAACCCTATAGAATGATATCATGCTTGGATTTAGCCATAGCACTACGTAACCCAAACATTATAATTCCGTCTTGATGAAATGCCGCTGTTGTACTGTCTGTAGTTTTATTAGTATACTCATAGAGCCGAACCAAGCAACTGAACTAGATAGAAGAATATTGCCTCTAATGAAACATGTCATTCCATCTAGGAACGTTCTAAGGCAGATCTTTTTAAAAAAGACGGAGCACAGTAAATGTTCCTTTATTGCTCTTTGAGGAACTGCTTTTCCCAAATCCTCTTGATGGAGAGCCCTTGGATGAGTACAGAATATTCTTTTTTGACACCCATATAGTTTTTTAACAGCGACTTAAGCGAAACTACCGTAAAACAAATTTAATCGCGTGCGAACACAGAACAGTGACGTCGAAGATAAGACGATTCGGTAGCATTTTGATGGAAAAAGGAAGGAGCCCACTGGAAAAAGGCTCCGCCATGTTGTTGTTTTTTTGATATTCATCTCAATTCGTAAAACTGATTTCTTTTGACCCTAAATATTTAATCGAAATCAATGATGAAGAAAATCTAGGAACATATAATAATTTATAATTTACCAAAACTCTTTTCTTCGGATTAACTTGCAGTGATGAAGGATTACAACCAAGGAATTCTAAACCAAAATTATGTAGTTAGTAAACAAGATTCAAGTCCATTTCACAAGTCGGTCAGGATGAAGCCGCCAGTTTTACATTAAATTCGTATTTTTCTGCAAAACCATTAATTTACTTTATGCCTCTTTATTAACCATAAATAGCGATATATCGAAACACGGATAGTATCCCTGCTTTGCTGTACGTAAGTATACCCAGTATGGTTGGCTACTTGATTATAGGAGCGCCAATTTTAAGTAAGGATCGATTGTGCATCGCGCCCCGCATGTCACGAAACGTCCGTTCAACCTCAGACACTCTTGGCCAGTCTTTCACTATGTCAACGTTATGTTTCACGTCGCTGTCCTTGTTAGTTGTGTGATTATACGGTCTTGTTTGTCGGCACGTTAATGAGTAAATCCACCAATCGTGAAGTGAGTTCAGCATTTCGATTTTTAAACGGAAAATAGTTCGTTCTGTTATAAATGCTGAGATGTGTTATGAAACAATATTGAAGCTTAGGCGCCCTATTCAGAACCGCTGGCCGTGCCTGCTCTTTAGCGCCGTCATTCTGCTTTACGCCAACGTGCGCCCTGTCGTTGCGACAAGAACACAGGCGCAACTAGTGAAGCTTCGTTGGGAATTACTGGATCATCCACCATACAGTCCTGACAGCACTATCAGACTTTCAGCTTTTTCCAAAACTTCAGGAATTTCTTGGTAGGAAGAGCTTGGCTAGAAACAGTTTCTGACTGGTTTAATGGTCAGGCGGCAGCATTCTTTGATGACGGGGTCCAAAAGCTGGAGCCGCGACTTGACATATGTTTAAACCACGTTTAAACGTTTATGATGTCGATGTTGAAAATGAAAAAGAGTTTGTGATACAATTTACGTTCACAAATAAAGTTGAAGTTCCTCTGACTCGCTTACAAAACGGTTCTTACTTATTAAATGAGCCTCGTACTCTCCAAAGAAAACAATGTACGCCATATATTAGTTTGCCACTTTGGTAGGCAAAGGTAGGCAAATTATCCAAAAGTATATACTAAAACTACGTAATTTTGGTGACAAATAATGCAATGTAGATGTAGGTTAACAATGAGTTTTGATTTTTGAGTTTGGCAGTCTTTGTCCGAGTTTATAACACTACCCACTTCTATGATGCTTTAACAACTCCATCAATCCATTCACCTACCATAACAGCAATCTTAAATTAGCTTACCCTGTCATGATGATTTCGGCGTAAGGACAAGCATGTGCAGGCCACGTGCCTCCACTAATGGGCCAATCCATGTCCGAGAACCCTCCCGTGCCCCCCTGGTTCTTTTTCTGCGGAGGTCGTCCCACCGAATAGAATGCAGGAATGAGATCGGCAGGACAATCAGCTAAGTAGGAGACGCAGGTGACAGCCGATTCGTGGATGTCCATGGGGTAGGGGTTCTCCAGGCAGGGAAAGCCTTGACTTCGGAGGTCCATCACTACCAAGTCATTCTGCAGGAGAGCTATTATCGCGTACGGCTCTTCGGGCTCTGTAAATTGTAAGGAACTTTGTTTCTATTGTTTGTTCGTTCAAAGAAAATTGAGGTGTGAAACCGCTGTGAGTAAAAGCTGGTTTATACTAGGCGACAAATGTCTTACATGGTCGTGAAACCTCAACCATTTCTGCTTGGATTAAAAATCGTCCAACGTGTGTCGCGTCGTATTTGTCTCATAATCTAAATAAGCCTTGAGGACTGCACGAAAATAATGGTTTCAAGTTTTTATACTAAAAATTATACCTATTTGATCTATTTCTATACCCTTACTCATTTTGCTCGAACCCTCCGTAGTCCGTGAAATAGATATTTCAAAGTTATTTCCCTAGACAAAAAGTAGCCTATGCAATACCAAATTTCATCCAGATCCGTTCGTCCATTATGTCGTGATTGAGTAACAAACATCTACATTTTCTCTTTTATAATATTAAGTAAGGATATGCTACATAGATCCTTTGAATTTAAGGTGACTGATATAGTGCATTTCAAAAGGATCTCCTTACCTATTTTCGGAACGCGTCAAGCAAGCTCAAATTCGGGGCAATAACATGAATTCATGGATACTGTATTTTAACGCAAATGTGCAGCTGTAAATTCTAAGGTGGTGACTGGTCGCCATGTTGGAACATTTATTTAAATGGCATGAACAGACGTGCGACACCACATTTTGAGGTTCCTTATGTGTCTTTTATTGTCCTAGAATATTAAATAACCACCCTTAGAAATCAATTACTAAAATGTAGTATATTATATCAAAATCTGTCAATTTTTTTAAAATTGTATAACCCATATTTTATTGTACATTTAGGTAGACCTTCCAAAAAGAAGAAGATTGATATAAACGCGTTGACAATTAGTTGTTGCGATTCAATGTATAAAAACGCATACACTTAGGCAGCCTTACAAAGTACTCATAAGCACCTTCAAAATGAGGTACCACAAGGCCCTCATTCTGTTTGAAAAATCTCCAAACTCGAGCTCAGCCACCATCTTCAATATTTCAACTACCACTTTTACGCTAAAATATAGTATCCTTGCATCAATTTCGGTACTCCGAATTCCAGCTTGCTAACTTGACTAGCTCGAAAAATAAGCACGTGGTGGCAGTTTCAAAGAGCACTGTAGACTCAAACACAATGCACTCGCGATTTAATGAAAAAAATACGGGTTTGACGTGATTACTGGCTAAATATACCATGTAAGGAAAATAAATAAGAGAAAAAAAAACAAATTTGGCAGCATAAAGGGTGACTCACCGCTTGGATATGGAGACTCGCAGAGGGTTATAAAATCTAAGACGTTGTGTTCCATTTCTAGCACTGTGGTCGTTTTACTATATACAACTGTTATACAGGGCGTTCTACTCGCTTGGTCATAAGGCATCCCACCGGAAAATATCACATAAGTTTCCCTGAAACATAGAGCATTTGTTCAATTCATCTTGACAAAAAATATTGTTGATATTATTACCCTGACATCGATGTCTTCCACTCAACTTTATTGATTGGCTTACACTGTTCAGGCTTACCATCCTTGGTAAGTTTGGCTGTAAAATAAAAAAAGACATTGTTATTGCACATTTGCTCAAGAATCAGACAGTATTTCCAAGTCGTGGCTTGTGTTAAAATGCGACTTTGACATTTTTGGAATCCTACATGGTATTTGCCCCATTGAATTTAAGGGAAACTCCAAGAAGGCAAGTATATAATTTACCTTGACATACAGTGAAAATTATATTCGAACTTTTAGACTGGCAAGATTAAAAGCATTTCTTTGCAGAATCTCAGAATCCTTATCCAAAATGTGCTTATTTAATCGAAAAATTTGAGAAGAACAAAAATCGTTTTTGCATCTTGATTGCCATCCCAACCATGCCTTTTTCTTCCAAATACCTCAAATTAGGGTCTTGATTGCCGTGATAAAGGCGAAAATTCTACCCCTAGATGGAGTTAATATTCTGTTGCTAGAAAGATATACTAATAATGCCACAGGTGGACCATTCGGCTCGGAAGTATACATAGAATAGCAACTTTAATCATGTGTTGAATACAATCCTTTATGAACTGATGATGCCGTTGCGTGGGAAGTGCAGAGTCAACCTAGTTGACGCCATTTTTTTTCAAAATTTTACTTTTCATCGGTATCAGCGTGCTCACACGATTTATGTGCCGCTAGTATTGCATTTAAACAATGGTAGTTGATTGAAGTTAATTTCTCCAAATTGACTTACCATGTGGTTGGGTGATGTGTACGTATTTTGCTTGCGACCTGAGACTCCACGTGGTTAAAGTACCGTCCGTATGCGAGCACATGAATTGCTTGCCCTCGTGGTGCCAAGCTATTGACCTCAGCTCCGTCGTTAACCATCGCATCTCAGCAATTCGATTCCTAAGGTCCCACAGTGCTACCAGACCCGTTTCATATCCTAATAATAACTAAAAAAATAGATATCTCAATGTAGGACATTATCCATGTCTCCTCCAGATGTACTATACATATACGTGGGTAGGGTGAACATTTCTCGACCTGACAATGAAAGGCTGAGATTTTTAGTTTAAAAATGGTTTAATTTTTTTATATTATCCGCTTGGACTCCAAAACAGTTGATCCAACGTTTCTCCAACATCAGAATTCCTTCTCGGAAACGGACGTCTCGATGGCTGTCAAAATATTCATTTCCGGCCCTCTCGACTTGTCCATCGGTCCCAAAGCGCTTTCTAACAAGAAATTTCATCAAATCTGAAAACAGATGGAAGTCGGAGGGTGCCAAATCAAGAGAATAGGGAGGATGGGTCAGCAAATCGGACCCCCAAATCTACTTTTTCCATTATCAACACAGCCTTGCAAGAAGGTGCGTTGACCTGATGAAAAATGGTATTTTTCTTCTTTGATTCAAGAGGTTGAAATAGTATTCGCCCTCAATTGTTCTACCCTTTTCAAGGTAACCAACTAACATAGTCCCTTCCGCATCTCCAAACACACTGGCCATGTACCTTCCCTCAGATGCAATCGACTTTTCTTCTTTGGCGATGAACCATTGGCTTACACCTACTACTTCGACTGATGTTTTGTTTTTGGCGTTTAGCGGTTGACCCACAGTAACAAGTTGCCACATTAAATTGGTTGGCTCCTTATTTAATTAGTCCAAACATTGCATGCAAATACCCGGCGCAGAGCTTTCTCATTCCCAGTTCTTTGTGCCAGATATCTCGCACCCTTTGCTCCAATATTCATATGCTTATCGTCCAACACGATATCATGGACCATTTCTATAGTTTCAGGTGTAGTTGCGGTTTTTTGCTAACCTTCAAGAGATGTGCGATAACGTTTAAGTTCAACTGAATACTTTGATCAGCTGGATTTTAATGAGCAAAGCCTCATAAATTTTTCTTAGCTTCGAAAGAATTTCATTATCCATCCAACATGAACAAATTGATGACAGCACGCTAGTCAAGTTTGTCCATCTTTTTGGAGACCACGCGAGTCTTTCGCTTGGTGTAGTCAAACTACTTGAGAGAATATGTTGACATTTATATGACCATGGAAAATATAAATTTTTGCTGATTAGAGCGCCCTGGACTTGTCAGGCTGAACATTTTTTACCTTGCATATGTAGATAAGCTAGTCACGCATATTTGAGAATAGTTCTACAAGACTATGGTATTACCACAAGCATAACCAAAATCAGGTTAAAGTAAATTAAGCAAAAATAAAGCGAGGAACTTACTTTACTAGCATCCAAAGGGTTATCACTTAGATGTACTATTGCTCCTGGGTGGGTTTTTCGAGATCTAAAATAAAACATTATTTTAAGCTAGCGGTTTTTGTGTTTACCATAATAAAAATATTAAATAATTTTTAAGTCTTTTAGTGTGCGTTGCGTATTTTATTTTTTACCAATACAATACAGTAGGATTCACTTATACAAATGTGTTAGAATTGCGATAGTAGTTGTGATAGTTTGTACTTACACTTCTATAGCTTTATTCCAGTTTATCACATATCCAGATAAATTAAAATTTTCTATTTGTACTATGTGGACATTACCCCGCTCTGTGCCTATATACAGCCATTTCGACTGTAATGGAAGATGTATACGTGTTATTCTGGAAAAAAGAGCAGAAATATATATGAATTCAGATTATCAAAAGAAAGGAATATCTTGGCGTTTCGCTTATATGACCATTAAAAGTTAAGGTTGCACAAATTTAAAACTACGACTCTGTATGAACAGAATAATAAAATAATTGAGTAATGCAAACCATTTGATGGACTATGGTCACTAAAGGCAACGTTGATAGCAAACATATAATGCTAAACCTTAACTTCAATATCCTCATAACGAAATAACACAATCAGAAAATTTTTGGAAAATATCGCTTTTGTATTTGAATGTCCTCTTTTTTATATAGTGTCTGGATCGAGTTACACCTAGACACTCCGTACCTGAAGATAATTGTCGTTTAGAACCTTGGAACATAATTAGGTACCTCAAAATTAGAAATAATATTCAATACGTCAATATTCTTAAGATGTGCTTTAAAACGTGCGTCACTCTAGCTTTGCTCCGTGATACAGAAAATTGCTTTGTTTTATACTCGTTCAAGTCATGTGTCATAAAATTTGAGTCAGGCTCTTCAGATTTTATGAGACTTGAGTCTAGAATTTTTTCAACTACACCTAAAAATGAACAACAAATTAAGAAATATACAATATTGGTCTAGCTTATGTAAAGAAAACTTCAGTAAATTGATCATTTAACACTTTTCTCAACTCGACAGTAACAACCTCACGTTTAGGTAGGTACATATACTGTAGTATAGTAAATGTAAATATATTAACATTATTTGTCTTAAAACACATCACCTCATATTGATGAGCAATACTTCTCTATCAATGCCGTTCTTAACCCTAGAATGTTACCGTTATTTTCTAGTTCATGAATGGTATAGTGGTGTCATATATGACACCATTTTCTTTGACGAGTTAAAAGGATAACGCTAGAAAAGATAGATAGTTTATTGAATCTTAATCACGAAACACAACCATATATGCAAAATTTATCAACACACTAATGAAAATTTATTCAAAAAATAGTCGTTCAAGTTATTCATAAATTTTAATGAAAGGTATATACATAAACTGACAATATAAGTGTAACTAAAACTAAAATAATAAAGTATTTTTAGCAAAAAAAAAAACTAAACTTCTTCTGAACATGTTGGACATATTGGTGTTCAGCACATAAGTGAGCACGGCAACGTACACAGACATCTCTACCTTTCCTGTTAGCGGCTCGGGGGCAAATTTGACATCGTTTTTGGATTGCAACCTGATTTCTTTCATTTTGTGTAGGCAAAACTTCTTCATTTTGTCCTAGAACATCCAAAATCAAGAAACGTAAGAATCTGGACAAAGTCGGTATTTTTAACCTATTTTGCAAATGTGGTGTTAGTAACTGATAGGCTGCTTAAGATATTCTTTCCTTGGCATAAATTTAGAGTTCGGGTTACGTTTCGTATTGTTTCCATTGTATATGACATAAGCATTAATGCCTGCACCATCTAGCATGCCGTAAAAAACTCTTAGTGGCCAACGACGAGTTTTACGAGCTTTAGTCTTGGAATGGCATAACTGATCATATGTATACACTCCGCCTTTAGTGGAGTTGTAGAATAAAACGATCTCTGGCTTTTTAGTTTCTTCGTCTACTACACCATATGTATGAACAGTTGATATCAATAAAACAATTTTGTTTTTCCTTTTTCCTTGGTGAAAATGAAAAGTTTTATTTTCATCATAAACAAAGTCAGATCTTGGCACACTGCTTTTATTTTTCAGAAATTCAGAAGCAATATCGGACTTATTTTTCCTCAAGATTCCCACCATTGTTAGTTTGTGCTGAAGAAGTTTTTCAGTTAGATCAGAAGAAGCAAACCAATTGTCCATGGTAACATTTCTGTTCGTGCCATAGATATTTTTACACAGTCGTAGAACGTAATGAGTAGGCAAAGTTTCTGATTTGTTTTCCTACGTAAGAAATTGCCGAAACCATATAGAAACTGTTGGAATCACAAAGCATAACAATTTTTATTCCATATTTATCGGGCTTATTTGGAATATATGTTTTAAAAGGGCACCTTCCGCGAAAGCTAAGCAGCTGTTCATCAATGGTTACATATGCCCCTGGAGTGTAATTATTTTCACAGCACTCATGAATTCATTCCACAGGAATCGAATAGGAGCAAATTTATCGTCACGTTTCCTTTCCTGCCTGGTTGCCGTATCATCGAAACGAAGACAGTTTATTAGGAATTCGAAGCGTTTTTGTGACATAGTCGCTCTAAAAATAGGTACTCCAAATTGTTTTGACAATAGGTCTGATGTACTCAAACAACTAGTTTTCAAAACTCCACTCATATATAAAAGTCCGGGCAACGCTAAAATCTCATCTTGATTTGTGCCACAAATAAAGCTTTGAGAAGCCCTATACCTCGCAGAGTGTCTTGTGATTTCGTCATTGGCGTGTTGTGTAATGGAGTTTATCATTGTATCAGTGAAAAATAGTTTCCAGGCTGAAATTTCCTCTGGCGTGTTCGATGCACACAACTTTGGTCCGGGTAGACGAAGAACTACATTTTTTTGTACTGTGTGGGTGTTCTTCGTAAAAAAAAGGCGTTTTATACCTCTTGTGGCCATTTTTTTCCATATATCACCTTTTTTCTCAGCTCACTTTCGTGTTCCATGTCTTCACTATCCGTGCCTGAGTCCGCTGAGAACGAGTCGGAGTGATCACTATCACTGAGCCTCGCATTTTCGTCCTCCTCGTCTTCGCTCGAATTTTCCGGCATAATGTCACTGCCCATAGCATCGTCATCACTCTCACCAGCTTCATATTTACGTACTGTATCTTCTAGCTCAGCCTGAGTTAACGCTCTACTTGAAGAAGCCTTTTTTGCCTTATATTAAAATTTGAACGGCAGTAGTACTGTGGTGCATGCCTTACCGCTTCTAAATCTGTTCTCCTATGATTCATCTTCGGCAATACATTCATGTATAAAGCTCCTACATCCAATATAGCTTCGGCTCTTAATGGTCCTCTTACACAGTGGCGACTTTTCAGTTTGAAAATAACACTTGCTTACACATATATTTTGGCACATTTGCACTTTGTTCAACATAGTTGAGTAAACTGATAGCCGTACACATACAGGGTGTAAAGTTAGTAGTGGATCAACGGAAGTCATGTGATAGAGGGCTTCAAAACCTATAAAATGAACCCATATATGTCTGGACCGAAATTTTATAGTTCAGGAGATATTTGCAAGTTTGTGAAATTTAGAAAAAAACGGGATAATGAACTTTCAATCGCAATTACAACTAAACCATTAGGCGTAAGGCTGTGTTTTTTTTCTGAGATGAACTAAATTGTTAGTTTTAGCAACGGTTATGTCACTTATTTAACAGAGCTTATTAGAAATCAACGCAAAAAATCTTATATTCATTTTTTTGTGAAAAATCTCTTCCATCCCTCAACTTTGGAGGGCGGTAAAAAAAATTTCGGTTGTATTTCATTATTCATTTTATTGTAAAAACTATTTCAGTCCATGTAGAACAAACGCTGAAAATTTCAGCATGCTACGATGAGTGTATCGTGTCACATTCGTTGGTGTGATGCGATAAACGTAAGAAACGCAATAGAATTATTACCACCTGCAAGTACAAAACCTACTCCTACTGTGTTTAGCCGCTTTTTATGGCGATTTACAGACAAACTAATGTGGAAGATAATTCGAAATGACCTCCATTATTTTTATACACAAGCGACATCTAATGAAATTGTCCCTTAGTCTTTGAAATGAATTTGCGTTTTCCATAATTTTTATTTTTGCTTCATCAATTTTTTGGCGCATTTGGTTGACATTTGTATATTCAGATGTATAGACAAGACCCCCATATAAAAAAATCTAGAGGATTTAAATCGGAGGTCATCGTATGACTCCGCCTCTACCTATCCAACGCCGAGGAAAGTCACTATCTAAGTAATGCCGTACAACCCGTGCAAAGTGGCATGGGGCACCATCGCATTGAAAATACACGCGGCTTCGAACGTCCAAAGGTACATCCTACAGCAGCTCATGTAAACTGCCTTGTAGAAAAGCGAGATATGACTGACCATTCAACCTGCCTTGCAATTCATATGGCCCAATTAATTTTTTGTTGAGTAAAATAAATTAACGCCGAACTGACGTGAAAAGCTGTGTCGGAGAATAGCGTGTGGATTTTCCACGCTCCATCAATGAAAATTGTGCTTGTTGAATATTCCATTTCGGTTAAAGTTGGATTAATTTGTCCATAACATGCTGTCGAAAAAAGTATCATCCTCTTCGCACCTTCTCAACATATTCTCTCAAAATTCAACCTGTTGTGCATAGTCGCTTGGAAGCAATTCTTGTACTTTTTATATATGGTGAGGATGCATGTTCTCCGAGCGTAGTATTGTGTGCACTGAAGTATGGGATATGTTTCTGCTTCGGGCAATGGCTCTGGTGCCTATAGATAGATGTCTTTCGGCTACTTCTATTATATCTTCTATTTCTTCTGGGCGTATCCTCGGCGCTCCTAACTGACGATGAGTGCCTAGTACGCGGCCATCCATATACGCATTATGAACGTGTAGAAAAATGCGGCAGTCGGGATATACCGCCGGTTGTGGTCCACTTCTTCTAACCACATACTCCCGATACACGCGAGCAGCTGCTCGAGCATTTCCTAGGGCAGCACCATATTAGTAATGTATTTCTGCATAATCTCGCGGAGAATATGACATGATTCTACTCAGATGCCAAACGTTAGATACAAATTCCGCGCTGGATCATTTCCTGACTTAGTAATTTCGGTCGGACCGAAGATTGAATGCTCCCGCACCTGGAATGCTGAGTTGAATGCCCAAGCTGATTAAGCTGATTCGCCATTTTGGTTTAACAAAATGGTAATACACACAGTATCACTCGCACTGCTAGGACGAATCTAACAGTACCTCATATGTCAAAATCCATCAAGTCGTTTCTTGTCTACATGAATAGATACCCACCTGCGTCAAGCATACAGATTTTTTAAGGTGAGGCACTTATCGTAGCAAGCTGAAAAAGGGTTGACATAGTTCTTACAATAAAATGAATAATGAAGTACAACCTCAATTTTTTACCGCCCTCCAAAGTTGAGGGATGGAAGAGATTTCTCACAAAAAAATGAATTTAAGGTTTTTTGCGTTGATTTCTAATTAGGTCTGTTAAAAAGTAACATGACCTTTGCTAAACATAACCATTTAGCTTATCTAAAAAAAATCATAGCCCTGAACTTAATGACTTAGTTGTAATTGCGATTGAAAGTTCACTATCCCGTTTTTCACAAAATCGGACCACACATATAGAGATTCATTCGATATGTTTTGAGGCCTTACCTGACTTCCATTGATCCACTACTAACTTTGCACCCTGTATAGCGTATCTCAGCAAGAATTGAATCAAACTATTATATAAATCACAAGTAAGTTTTTGTTCAGTATATTACGTAAATTCAAACATTTCTAAATTAATTTACTTAAGTTTCTTGCAAACGAAATTATATATAGTGGACATTTGAGAAATCTACCAAAATAAATACCTAGATACTCTGGTGATTCAACCTTTCCAATAATATTAATTTGCATTTATAAAATAAGCTCCTATTTGCCACTTACTTTTCCTTCTGAAATTTGAGACTATGCACGACCTGCGGCACCTTCTGCCTGTAATTCCACAGATGCACCGTGTCATCGGCGGTGACCGACACCAGCGCCCCTTCGTTTACCAGGAAGTGAAGATGAAGGACAGCCAGTGCACCAGGTGGACATGCGTCTGTTAGGGGGTCGCCTGTCGAGGAGGACGTCGACGACGTCGCCAGGCTGTGCCGAACGTGCACGTCCACGCCAGGTTGGCCCAGACTATTAGTGAGATGGTTGAGGAAAATTTTGTGGAAAACAATCATAAAAATGTATTCAACGCATAAACTAAGAGAACTCCATCTTTCCCTGGTCAAATGAAATCACATATGTAGAGATTACTCTCCAATGTACAGATTAAAATGACAATGACAATGCAATGCCTTACTGGAAGGTAAGATTTATCTCCCTAGGTGAATAATGAAAACAAAAAAGCACCTAAATAAATAATATATATATATATATATATATGAGCAGTAGTCATTGTCATTGCCTACGACCAGTTGGGCAAGAAATACAATTATTAATTATTAATTTTGAAATTGACAAACTTCAAGCTTAGTAAACTCTTTTGACGGTAATCTCGAGCTTTCGGCACGCTATGGTGCCATCTTCAGGAGCTGAAACACAAATATGAAGCTAGCAACCAATTCAGAAAGGATTAAAATTTTTAGAAAACTTACTGGTCGGTGAGGTTGCATCCAAATGGTGTTTTAAAACGAAAGCGCGAGTGAGAGCACTTGTTGCAAATGTAAAACTAAAAGGACGGACACATTGGATTTGGTGGTAACAACGGAAATCATAGCTAGGTGTTACCACTATACCTGTATATCAATACACTCGAACAAATTAAGAATTAACGAATATTTTCAAGTTAATAAAAACTAGTACTGCATTTTGGGGGAATATACGACAAACTTAGGGAGAAGGTAGGCTATGGACTGACCTCCCAAATAACAAAAACTTGCCTATATAAGTGTCCACGTCTTTGAGAAATTGAATTTTTTCTTACATTTAAAAAAAACGAACCTTCATCTGTGGTCTTTAGCTGCATGTACAAATAAGGTTAAATACATCTAGATAGTTGCTTTATGATATACAAATGCAATGTAGTTAAAAGATATTAAGGAACCATGATCAAATAAGGACTATTTTGGGATTTATAACCTTCTGATATTTTTTCCTCAACTTTGTCCATGTAAGAATGTACTGGGCTATAACTGCATTTATTCAATAGAAGATTGCTCATTGAATACATATTTCAGAATGGCGCAACACGTACTATTTGGGATAGAAAAAAAGTAATATTTGTAAGTTCCTGACACACACTACAAAGTAATTATTGGATTTAAATTTAAGTTACCGACAAATTTGAGCATATTTTATCCATAAATGAATACATTTTTTCCACAAACAATTTGTTTTTAATCTATTTGAATTGCGTTCTGTCAATCCAGATCTTGATGTCTGGAATCAGTCTCCTGGTCTTCTAATCCACGCTCCATCGCAGGTCGTGTCTCACAGTGTATTTCAGCATTCCCAACATTTACTAACAGTGAGATTCAGCCTTTACCTACCAGAGATTATTACCAACTCACTTTTTTTAAGAGGTATCATTTTCCTCCATCCATACGCTGGTCTTAGTTATTCGACATGCCAGGAGACTTTTTACCGTATCTTCTTCCTTGTTTATTACCCCATTGAGCTCAATATGGTTAGGTGTCTGTACTTTCCTTCCTTGTCGCCGGGCTTTTTTGATTTTGGAGTACAAAGTCAGGTTCTTTCCATCTCAATGGAAATTTGTCCATTCTCAACCAGTGTTCATCACAGACAGCATAAATTCGAGTATTTCCTGTATACATTCTTTTGTTAACTAGCTCAACATTTTACACAAACCTAGTTTCTGCTATCTGCAACTGTTGTTCGGACGTGTAAGGCCTTTCTGTGAATATTTTTATAACTATTTTATATGCATTCCTCCAAATATCATCTTCAAAGTCGTCCAGAACGTCCACATTTGTTGTGTTTTGTTCAGATTTCCCAGCTCCTTTCTTGCAGTCTGGTATAGCCTGTTATATTCCATTATCTCAGTATTGTCCCTTTTACCATTTACTTTTTAGCTTCCTTTTTATCAGTAGGCGTCCTTTCCTTTTTTGTCCGATTCGTATAAGTCACACCAAATGTGTTATCATATGCCATTATAACAGCTTTGGTTAGGTGTTGATTCTTGTTCTTTTGGTCATCCAGCTTCATGTTCAAAGGGTTTAAAACTTGTGCTCTGTTCTAGCGCTGGTAGATCATAGCGAGTCCCACTGTATGCGAAAATATCAGCAGGCATTTTTCGCACGTATTGTTACTATTTTCGATATTTTTTGCGTGTGGCGCATTTCGTTATCATGAGATAAAGCCCCACCTCGCGTTATGCCGAGCAGGCAACCGAACCAGAGTTTGAAGGTTTTGCTAACAGGTGCGGCCTAATGACGGTCGGAAAGCTAAAACCAGACGAAAGGGTGAAAATGATTTAATGGTCGAGAAGTTGAAACAGGAAAGAGAATTACGAGCTGTCACTACTTACGAAACAGTACGAGTGGTATTACAGTTAAGAGTATAATTGGGATTTATGGCGCTCCTTGTAAAATGTAAATACTTTACATAACGAGATTGTTAATTTACACAAGCCTTCTTTAATTTGGCAAAATGTTTTCACGGCAGAGTTTGCAGGGTGTTTGAGGTGAATTTCAAATTGGCAATTCTCTTTCGATACAAAGCTAAATCGTGTAATCTCCCGCGTAGGATCCTAAATGGTAACCAGCTAGGGGATAACTTGCAGGTATTACGAATAAGTTATTCGTTTGAAGTTATTCGTAAAATATCTAAGTAATCTCTTAGCTTATTAGTTTACAGCACTCTAAGAGGTAGATTACACGATTTGGTTTAGTATTAAAAATCGAATGTCTTGCGAACTCCGCCTTAACCAAAGTTGTGAATTGACTCAGCTCTATGGGAATTATTTCCGAGTAAAGAAATATTTTTTTTAGTGTGAGGCAATTAGAAGTCCCATTTTATGAACAATCCACACGAACGTTAACACCAGTATTCGAAGTTGCATAACAGTCTATATTAGTAATAAATACAAATTAATTCTGAGTCAGGAATACAAATAAATGGGTAGTTCTGTTAATACTACATTCTAATGCGAATTAATCTTGGAGTATGAAAGATTCAAAGTTGCATAATGCATCTTGGAGTATGAAAGCATCTTATAGCTTCTGATTCACCTTACTTTTCTATACGTTCAAAATGATCAGAAAGGTATTTGAAACTTGAAGCATTCCCGTTTTTAAATGTCAGAAATCCCTAATACAAACATAATAACACCTCTGCCAGTGTTCCATCAATTGTTATAACTAATAATTTCCCATCCTCCATAAACTTCTCGAACATCAAATAATTTCCCCCTTTACAATGGTTTTTAGCCCTCCGATGACAGTCATTAGGGCACACCTGTTAGCAACAGTTTCAGTCCGCTTCATAGTTCAATCCTTTGGGGCTTTGAAGTCGGAAAAGTTGATGACAGGCTGAAATTTGATACGTTGGTAGTTAATAGCAGTAGAAATAAAAATCAGCCCTTATTACATCTGAAACAACTGACGTTCTAAAAATATTACCGTTTCAAGATAAAAATATGCCTTATATTAAAAACCTCCTCCATTTTATTTTAAGTAAAAAGAATATAAAAATAAGCCTTTAGTGGGACTGTACACCGATCATTGCAGATTTTGTCCACATGGATGGGCATGGCGGAAGAAGCTGATTGCAGACTATAGCTTTGACCAATGCGAAACGTTTAAGCACGTTTTATATAGAGTCAGGTACACGTATTGCTTGTAGTAGAACACCTGAAAGATATTTCTCCTATAAAGCTGATGGGCTTCCTTAGGAAGCTACTGGGAGAAATATAAGTAGCGATGAGTCGCAGTGGAGGATCGTCATCGACCCACTTACAAAAAACATAATCTAAGCTTAACCGAAGCATGTTCTAAAAGAACAAAATGGTTACTTTGAAATGATAAGCATGATTAACTTTACACATTCCTAAATTGTAGTCCACAATTAGTAATGCAAAAATTCATTTCCAAAAACTGGACTCCGAAGTTATCAATCATCAATTTCATCCCATCTTCTTATTCCGACAACTACTGAAGAAAGACTCCATTCCCTTTTCTTATTATCCTTTTCGAACTTGAAAAGGAATCTCCAAAAAAATGGAGATTCGTTAATTAATTAATTAATCAGCGCGACTGGAAACTTGCTTATCCGATAAAATTCAATTCATATATCTAAATAAACCATAAACCATAAACGAATAAGCTACATGTGACGCGAGCTGAGCGTAAACTCCTTCACGGTGTGTTAGGTACCTAAGCTACTATTTACACTTGATAATAATGGAATACCAGATAATGAAGAACCAATAACCGTTTGTAAAGAAGTTGTGGAAATACACTATGGGAACAGTATCTTACAAATCTTCTGGTAATAATTTTATTTTTTTGCGAGAGCACCGAAAGAAAAGGTTTTTGAGTGCGGTTTGATGGTTGTGCTATTTCGCTTTATTTCGCATCAATGACATTTTTTAAGGTAATCTGCTATTATTTTTTTTATCTCGATACCTTAAGTTTCCTATGAGACAGAACCTTCTGCGGCCGTCATTCAGAGCGGTTTTAAGCGTGACGCGGTATTATGCAAAACAGCACAAGCGCAAAATCTAACAAGCTGAAATCAATGTTGTAAAATATTATTTCTATAGTAGAATTCATTATCTTTGGTTTTATCGTTATTCCCCGAAATTCCAATTTTAAATCCAATGGTTATATTTTTAGGAAGTCAATTGTTTCAGGAGGGGTTCATACTAATTTCTGTTCCTGTTGTTCATTCATTTCTCCCAGGGTTCAATAAAATATTCTCCCCGAGTACTGGACTATCACCCCAGCTTCAGGAGCGACGACTCGGCATTGATTTTAATTAAGATATTATTGAAAACTCGAGTGAAACTTTATCGCAGGTGGCTTTGTGTGTTCTTCGGCGAACCGGCGTCGCGACGTCCGACCACCTTGACGTCGTTGACGCCTTGTCTTCTTTACCTCCGCTTTATTGTGGAAGCGATGTCGGTTTGGGGTTGATGTGACAGGGGCGTGGTATTTTTCAACAGTTCAGTTTAATATTTTGAAAGTA